TGAGCCATTGCGCCCGGCCCCTGTATTGATGTATTTTAACCTATGAGCATTATTTCTGAATATGTAGTTACTCAAAAGTAAAACTTCAAGAGGAAAACTATTCAAAATATTAGTATCTGTAATGTTAAAAATAAGGGATGAGGATTATATAGGAATTATCAGTACTGTGATAATTTTTAAAGGAATATTTTTAAGGAATTAATTTTTTTCCAAATTTAGACCCTCTAAATGTATAAGCATTGATTTTACAAGTGGTTTCCTTCCCAGAGAGGCATTTAGTGAAAGTCATTTTACTAAATTGTTTTCCATACCTTTTCTATTTATCTCAGTCATCCTGTTTTCTCTCACTTGCCAGACTTGTGCATGATTGAACACTGGGTAAAAACACAATTTAAATAAAGCTAAAAGCAAAGAAAAGTGAATAATAAAGGATATTTTCACAGTTCTTGGTAATACAGTTTCTTCTTGCATTGTGTGTTACTTAGGATGCCTTCTGCAAATATCAAAAAAATGTTGAATCAATGGGCTTACCCAGTAATGAAATTTATTATTTCTCATAAGATGTCCATAGCAGGACAACTCCAGATGAGGTTCGGTAGGACTTTGGTTCTGTTTTTCAACAACTTTTTTGGGTTTACCCTCTTCTATACTTTGACTTCATTCTTAGCAAGAATGCCACAGCAGTTGAAGGTGTCACATTCATTCATGACAATTTTTATTGATTTAAAGGGACTATTTTTTAAGCCTTTTCAGACATGAGGATTTCTTTCCCAGAGGTCCCCATGTTGACTAGCGGTTCCCAAGTAAACTACCCTTCACTTCACTAGTCAGAACTGGGTTACCTGTCAATTTCAAAACCCATCAGCAACTAGGATAATGGGATTACCTCGACTGAATTTTCTAGACTAATCAGGATCTACTCTATGGAATTGGAGGTAGACATAGTTTCTACTGGACCCTGAGGCTTTGTTGAGGAAAGATGGATACCTGAATAAAATTGGGATTCTGTCAGGAAAGTGGAAGGGGGCAAATGGTTGTTATTTTTGTAGCAACATCTGCAACAGATTTTTTTTTCTATTTAAAACACTTCTAGTTTTTAGTATTCAATTATCTAAAATTGTAAGAAATAATTTCAAATTTAACAGCAAAAAAATAATTTTATCTTTAGGTTTTAATTGGCATGTTAAACATTTTACTTGTTTACAAGTTTATTTATTGCAAAATTATAAGCTTGATTTCAAATTAATTGGTGCTTTCAATCCTTTATTGATCAAAGTCAATTTGTCAATTCAAAATATTTTTAAATGAAACTAATAATTAAATTATTTTTATAAAAGGAATGAAGTACTGATACATGCTATGACATAGATGACTCTTGAAAACATTATGCTATTAATAAGTGAAAGAAGCCAGACACAAAAGACCACATATATGATTCTATTCGTATGAAAGTTCAGAACAGGAAAATCTATAGAGCAGAAGGTAGATTAATGGTTGCTTAACAGCTGATGAAAGAGGGAATGAAGGGTAGCAGGGTGAGACCTAAAGGGTACAGGGTTTCTTTTTGAGGTGACAAAGATATTTCAAAATTGATTGTAGTGATGGTCGCACACATCTGTGATTATACTAAAAACCATTGAATTGTATACTTTAAGTGGGTAAATTGTGTAGTATGTGAATTATATCTCAATAAAGCTATTTTAAAAAACAGGTTTGATAGAATTTCGGATTGGATTTGCCTAACATTTAAAATTGACCAAAAGCATTGGAGTTAATCATTACAGTTCTCAAACTGTTAAGACTAGCAGAGAGAATGAATTTTCTGTTAAAATATGGCCATCTTGAAGTATACTTGTTCTTTATAGTCACTACCCCCTTTAGGTGATCATTTTCTTTCTTCCTAGTCTTCCGTACAGGCAATTATCTCTCCCAAACAACACAGGCTAGAAGCCTAGCACTTTCTGTCTAACAAAGTGATCTTTCCTCCATTCATTTCTGCTATAAAAATTTAACAAAGCTTTCCATTTGTAGTAAAGGCACTTGAGTAAGGAGAAATAGATCCTCTGCTTTTATTGTATTAATTATGATCAGGGACTATAATTGTGTGTTCTTTTCAAGCCTTTAGTATTTATTTTCCTCTGGTAATTAAAATCTCATTCCTTGATAGATTGGGCATTTTTGTGTCCATAAATTTGTAGGTTCAGAATATTTTAAAACCCATGGTATATAGTTCAAAACTTGTGTCTGTAATAGTGATTAAATTATTATAAGTATAAATAATCAAGTTTTTCTCTTAACAGGTTTTTCTATTGTGATAATGTCAATATGGCCGTATCTCCAAAAGGTTTGTGCATTTCAATCTATTCTTCTCTTAAGTAACTGTAGTGGTAGTAACTCTTATGTAGTTAAGCATTTTCCAGAGAGTCTCTTTTGTATTCTATGGTTAATCTTTATTAGAATAACAAGATAATGGTTCCTCAAAAGAAGCTTATAAGTAAGGTGACCATATGCTTTATTATGCAAATAAGAACACTTTTGAAGTGAAAAGAGATGCTATACCAGGAAAAACAGGATTATGCCCAGACAGTCCCAGTCAATGTAGATGTGTGGTCACCTACTCATAAGCCACTTTCACATCCCATCACTACCTCTTCCCTAATAAAAAGGAAACTAAACTAAACATAGTCCAAATTCCCATAAGGTACAAATTATATTTCTGTAGAATAATGTAATGATTTTCCCATAGAATTAATTTGGGTTATCAGGTATTGTTGTGAAAAGAATAGATAGTATGTGTTTGATGCTGTTAGCACTGGAAGAGGAGGAGGGGGTGACTTGAAGATGTAAGTTCAGTAGGTACTTTGACATCAGTTGATCATCAAGTCCTGTCAATTCTATCTTAAATCTCCAGGAATGAACTTCATAAAAATCAGTACGTAAGTTGGCTACATAATTCATTTATAATAATATTACAGTTAAGGTTCTTAAAGAGTTCCCCAGTACCTCCTAACCTCCTAGTCACTCCTTGATCTTCTACTATCTGATTACCTCCTCTGCTACCCTAAAACTGCTCTTGTAAGGTCTCCAATGACTTAATTGTTGATCATACAGATACTTTTCAGTCCTTACTTTAGTTGACATCTAGAAAATATTTGATATTGCTGTCCTCTCCTTACTTTCTAAAACCGTTTGTATTAGTTCATTTTCTGATGCTTATAACAGAATACCCAAAACTGGGTAATTTATTAATACAAAGAAAAGGAGACCAGGCATGGTGGCTCACTTCTGTAATCCCAGCACTTTGGAGGTTGAGGCAGAAGGATTGCTTGAGCCTAGGAGCTCAAGACCAACTTGAGCAACATAGCAAGACCCTATCTACAAAAAATAGAAAAATTAGCAAAGTGTGGTAGTGTGCACCTGTAGTCCCAGCTCCTTGGGAGGCTGAGGCAAGAGGATCATTTGAGCCCAGGAGTTTAAGGTTGCAGTGAGCTACGATGATGTCACTGTACTCTAGCCCAGGCAAGAGAGAGACCCTGTCCCACCCTGCTGACAAAAAAAAGTTTATTGTGATATGTAAACCCTCTCTAAGTGGTAGAATACTGAATATTCTACCATATGTTATAAAGCTATTGTCTATGTAGCAAAGAAGAATTAGTATTAGGTTTTTAAAATTTTTTTTCCTAAGTAAGGTTTAGGTTTAATGAGTAATAGGTTGAATGAAGAATTGTCTATCAGCTTTTATGTTTTGATTATCCTCTTTATGCATTTGACTATTGTGCTCAGTTTTAAAAAAAATAGATTTATGGTGCTAATGGCTATTTAGCTTAGGGGGTAGCATAAGTCTAAAGAATTGTGTTTATAAGAATTCAGAGCCTGGCACAATGGTTTGAGCCTGTAATCCCACCTACTCCGGAAACTGAGGAAGGAGGATCGCTTGAGTTTGAAGCTATAGTGAGCTATGATCACGCCTGCACCCCAGCTTAGACAACAACATGAAACTTCATCTCTTAAAAAAAAAAAAAAATTAATTAAAATAATAAAAATTAGAATTGTATGTGTAAGAATTAGGGCTGGATATGGTGGCTCACACCTGTAATCCTAGCATTTGGGGAGGCTAAAGCAGGAGGATTGCTTAAGGACAGGAGTTCAAGACCAGCCTGGGCATTATAGTGAGATTTTTGTCTCTATGAAAAAAAAAAAATTAGCCAGGCATGGTGGTACTACTTGGGAGGCTGAGGCAGGAGGATCGCTTGAGACCAGGAGTTTGAGGCTGCAGTGGGCCATGATTGCACCATTGAACTCCAGCCTGGGTGACAGAGTGAGACCCTGTCTCTAAAAAAATGAAAATTTTTAAAAAAAGAATTAAAGAATAGCTTATATTATTTTTCGTGATATTATTGCTCTACACATAGGGTGATTATCTTTTTAACAAGATTTTTAAGAACCAGAAATTTCCATAATCATTCTAAAAGATAAAGCTTCCCAAGCATTTTTCCCTTATGGACAGTGAATTGTTAGCACATTTAATTGTAATATTAAAAGTTTTAATCCCTTTCTATGACTATAGTGTTATAAAACTTGTATGTTAGAATTGTTGTTTTTATTTTTCTAGTAGGAAAATTTACGTGGTCCAACAAATGTATTAAGGTTTTAAATTTTACTTTTCTTGGATAACAATTCTTAAGGTATTATACTTTCTTTGCAGATTGATCAGACAGCTGATGCAAGTTTTTTGGGCTGGGTTATTGCTTCGTTTAGTCTTGGCCAAATGGTAGCTTCACCTATGTTTGGTTTATGGTCTAATTATAGACCAAGAAAAGAACCTCTTACCGTCTCCATCTTCATTTCGGTGGCAGCCAACTGCCTCTATGCGTACGTCCACCTCCCAGCTTCTCATAATAAATACTACATGCTGGTTGCTCGTGGATTGGTGGGATTTGGAGCAGGTAAAATGTTTGTGTGTGTATGTTTGATTGTTTCAAATTCACATTCATCCTGACATTTGTGGCCTTTTCTCACCTGGTCTCATACTTTCTCGATCTCATATTTCACAGTTCAACATGCAGATCTCTCATTGCAAATAGACAAATAATCTTTTCTCTCATTTTGCATTTGCTCATGATGTTCCCATTACCCGTAGCTTCTCTTCTGTTCCCATTATTCTTCATCTTCAAGATTCAGTTCAAGTTTGAGCACGGTGGCTTGTACCTGTAGTCCCAGCTACTTGGGAGGCTGAGGCAGGAGGATCTGTGGAGCCCAAGAGTTCAGGACCAGCCTGGGCAACATCTTGGGACCCTGCCTCAGGAAAAGCAAAAGCAAACAAACAAAATTTGTTTAGTCAAACAAACTAAACAAAATTCAATTCAAGTTCCACATCTTCGATGAAGCCCTCTTAGGCTACCCTGCCCCTTAACAGATTTTAATCTTCTCTGACACGTCTCTGGCACTTGCTTATAGTCTTATACCGTTTTTATACTTTCTCACCAACCAGACAATAAACGTGTGCAACTAGAGACAGTTTTTAATACTTCTAAATATTTTGTGGCCCCTAGCAGAGTCTCTTGAACATAACCAGTGCTCAATAAAATTTTTCAGTTAAATTGTTAGTGCCTTTTTAAAAAATTTCTCATGGTCTATGCATAGAGAGTTTGTGACACCTTGAAAATAATTGTAGCAATCAGTGGTATGCTATTCCCTCAGTGCTATCATGGTATTCTTTAATGAAAAGTTTGATATTCTTATATCATCTTTTCATTCACTCAGATCTCTAGTGGTGATTTCATATTACTAAAAATACTATGTTCCATTAATTGATGCATTTGATCAGGAGAACTAGCTTACATTCTTTGTATGACCGTAAAGAGGAAGTAGTGACTATACTCTTGACCAATATTTCTTCTTCTGTATAAAGTCAAGTTAGACTGAATTTTAAAAACTGAACAATATTTTCTTTTACTTTGGATTATTGTGTCTTTTTTAGGAAATGTAGCAGTTGTTAGGTCATATATTGCTGGTGCTACTTCCCTTCAGGAAAGAACAAGTTCCATGGCAAATACAAGTGCCTGTCAAGCATTAGGTTTTATTCTTGGCCCAGGTAGGTGTTCTTCACCTGTCATTACCTAAATTTGAATTGGGAGAACTATTGAGACTCAAGTGTTAAGTGTAATCCAAGTATAAAACCTCATACCTGAAGAAAAAGGGAGGGAAATGAATATTTTTTGATCCAGCAGTGAGGCTAGGCTCATTTTATCTTGATACCTATCCTCTAAATTTAGTACTATTAGTCCCATTTTACAGTTGAGGATGCCAAGGCATAGAGAATCTAAGTCAATTGTCCAAGGTCACCCTTTTGCTGAGTATAAAAATATTAATGAAATTTAATACTTCCCCAAGGCAAATTAATTTTCTGCTAAGTGAGTAGACAAATTAGTCATTTTTATACCTAGAATAACATTGAGAAACTGTATATTTGGTCCATACTTTTAATATTACAGTTGTGAGTATCATCAGTTTGAATCCAACTCAGTTTACTTCATCATTAACACCTCACCCCCACCTCAGTTTCCATTACTTCCTTTTATTTAGCCAAAAAAAAAAAAAAGGCTCAACAGAACAGAATCTAATCCACTGTTCATCAAAATCTAATATTTCAATTTATTAAATAGTATTCTGGAACAAATATAAGCCGAAATTTAGAATAATTGAACCTTAATGCCATATTGTAAAATACATGAAGACATGGTCTGGGTCTTTTCTATTTAGCAGTCTACCCTTAGTATCGAGCTCAGTACCTTGTATAGACTTAGGTTCTCAGTAAATATTTTTGACCACCTTAAAAGCATTTTAAAGATTATCTCATTTAAATATTTTGTGTTATAGATGAGTAAATATAAGCCTGAAGAGATTAGATGACTTTTCCAATAATAATAACCACTAAACAAACACTAATATTTATTGAGAGCTTACTGTGTGGTAGATACTGTTCTAGGTGCTTTAGGTGCAGTATCTAAATCCTCATTCTGAGGTTACATGCACATTATTATAGAGCCTTTTGTAGAATCTAAACCAGGAGAGCAAACCAGTACTGTTCCAATCCAATTTTTGTCAGAAATCCAAATTTAAATGATATTAAATGTATATAATTTAGGTACCATCTACACAATAATATGTAAAATATTTCACTTAAAATGTGATATTTTCTTTCTTATAATGAAATTGATTAAACTTTTATAATTGATTTATGGAAGAAATTACATAATTTAAATTGCTTATGGAGATTTTTTTTTTAAAAAGGAGATGCTGACAAGTTACTTTAGATATAATCCTTTGTGAATGCATGTAGATCATCTTTCTCTACCTTTTTTTCATTATGTTCTCCCTAAGGAGGCTCTTTAGAAATTTTTTTCCCTGATCACTCTGTCCCATAAAATTTTAGTACCACATCTATCATATATCTTTTGTGTACTACATATATATCTGAGCTTTATATATAAAAAGAGTAATTTTTTGTCTCCCCCCTACCTCAAGAACCAATTTTCTTGTACCTATTAAGAATGGATGATATAGATGGATGATTTTATAATGTTATTCCAAAACTTATGGTAAATGTCTTTTTAATTTTTTTAGCCTATGCCTCCCATGTAATAATTCACCTGTGTGCATTTTATTTTAATAAGTTTTTCAGACTTGTTTTGCATTCATTGGAGAAAAGGGTGTGACATGGGATGCGATTAAGCTGCAGATAAACATGTACACAGCACCAGTTTTACTTGGCGCCTTCTTGGGAGTTTTCAATATTATTCTGATCCTTGCTGTGTTAAGGTAATTAGAAATGACAAAACTGCTTTTGTAGATTGTGAAATTTAGTATACTTTTTAATTTTTGGAGTCTAATTATCCTTATGAAATATATTTGGTTTTTATTGTCTATAGTTGTGTTTGTATTTTTTAATCAGCCAAAGCATGTAGTATTGGCAACTAAAATAGTAGACAACCTGATAAATGAGAACATATTATGAAGGTCTTTGAAGATTCAAGTTTTGGTTTTTTTTTTTTTTTTTTTTGAGACAGAGTCTCACTCTACTGCCCTGAGCAGCGTGCCGTGGCATCATCCTAGCTCACAGCAACCTCAAACTCCTGAGCTCAAGCGATCCTCCTGCCTCAGCCTCCCTAGTAGCTGGGACTACAGGCATGCGCCACCATGCCCGGCTAATTTTTTCTATGTATTTTTAGTTGTCCAATTAATTTCTTTCTATTTTTAGTAGAGACGGGGTCTCGCTCTTGCTCAGGCTGATTTCGAACTCCTGAGCTCAAACAATCCACCCGCCTCGGCCTCCCAGAGAGCTAGGATTACAGGCATGAGCCACCGCGCCCGGCCCAAGTTTTGGTCTTGATTTATTAACTCTATGTTTCTAAGTAGGGGAATGGCATGAAAGCAACATTTTAAGTAAATTAATGGATTAGTATCAGCCTTAAATACAAAAGTTACTAGTTATATATATTAAAAGAAATTTTCTAAAACTACGTAAGTTTTGTTACTTTGTTTCTTTAGAGTGCTTTATCCAATAGTCTAAAAACATTTATAACTAATGTTTAAAATCACTGAAAATATTAAAAAAATTAAAAAACTAGAGGCCAGGCGCGGTGGCTCACGCCTGTAATCCTAGCTCTCTGGGAGGCCGAGGCGGGCGGATAGTTTGAGCTCAGGAGTTCGAAACCAGCCTGAGCAAGAGCGAGACCCCGTCTCTACTAAAAATAGAAAGAAATTAATTGGACAACTAAAAATATATAGAAAAAGTTAGCCGGGCATGGTGGTGCATGCCTGTAGTCCCAGCTACTTGGGAGGCTGAGGCAGGAGGATCGCTTGAGCCCAGGAGTTTGAGGTTGCTGTGAGCTAGGCTGACGCCACGGCACTCTAGCCCGGGCAACAGAGTGAGACTGTGTCTCAAAAAAAAAAAAAATTAAAAAACTAAAATCACTGAAAAACTTGAAATACTAAGGTAGATCATGTTTGTTTTTGGATGAATTGGGGTTTTTTTCTTTTTATTTTACCTATATGTGATAATATGATAAGAATTGTAACTTCTTTTTAAGTTTATTGGTTATATGTCTTTCGTAATAATTTCATTACTCAGAAACTAATGAAACAAACTCTGTCAGAATGTGAAAAAATACAATGCTAGTAATAAATTTAAACCATTTCTCTATTATAGTAAGCATTGCATAGATAAAATATTTATGTTTTTCTTTTTAAGAGAACATCGGGTGGATGACTCAGGACGACAGTGTAAAAATATTAATTTTGAAGAAGGTACTATTAACCTGTTTGAATTACTGTAACATTATCAAAGTGTTCTAATGATTCTATCTGTTTGATATTTACTTGGATTTTACTTTTGAGGACAATAAAGTGGGTGATTGGGGAATAGCTTCAAAGCTCAATGTGACCTAAATTGATTTTTATTAAAAACATACCCATATCAGTTATTTGGTGTTCACGATTAACAAAGTTAACACCATTGCTAAAAATCACTTTTTCTTAATTTAAAAGAGCCAATATTCGAGAACCTTTGAGAGTTTTGGAATGATTTCAGTAACTTTGCTATCCAATAAATGTGTCTTTCTGTTTCAAGCAGTTGTTTAGTCCCTTAATCATGAGAATAGGTATGGTTTCTCTTTTTAATTTTTATTCTTTTGGTATACTTTACAAATATACATTTTCATCCTTTAGATCTTCTTTGATTCGTCTAAGTCAGAGAACTTTGTAAATAGGTATATTTTACCAAATAAGCTATTATTTAAGTATTAATTATGTCCTCTTTGGGGAGTATCCTGCCATATGAAAGAATGCAACTCAGTCCTTGCCCTCAATGAGTTTATAAAATTGTGGAAAAGAAACGATCTTATTTTACCAAGTACTTTCATAGCTATTTAATTTTCACAACAGAAATAGTGGAAGGTAAAGTTAAAGGTTGTGGGGTGGTGAGCATAGTGATGAAGAGTGATAGTAAGTTTTTGAACATAGGAGAGATATGACAATAGATTCCTTGCGGAGGCTAATTCAGGTGTGTGAAAGCCTGAACTAGGGCAGTGACTGAGAATGGAGAAGGGATAAATAGGAGTTTGAGGTACCCAGTGAAAAAACACTACAGCAGCAAAGAGAAAGTGAGAGAAAGGAAGGAAGGAAGGGATAATGAATCAAGTATGGCAAAATATTGTTGAGTCTAGGGGATGGATATATGAGCATGTGTTTGAAAACTTGCAAAATAAAAAGTAAAAAGAAGCCAAGAGCTGTGGCACATGCCTGTAGTCCTGGCTACTTAAGAGGCTGAGGCCGGAGGATCTCTTGAGTCCAGGAGTTTGAGACCAGCCTGGCCAACATAAGACCCTGGCTCAAAATTAATTAATAAATTAATTAATTTAAAGGAATGAAAGAAAAGAAAGCAAGAATGAGAGGTGAGAAAGTGCCAGCAGTGCGTATAAACTACTTTTTTTAAAGGTGAAAAATAGGATGCTAACTTCAAGGAGCTATCAGGTCAGGGAATGAAGAAGGTAAGAGGATATGATTGAGGTATGAGAAGGAGAAGATACGTAAAAAGCAGTCTTTTAGAAGTTGGAAGGGGATGACAATATAGATCAGTGCTTCATTTGCGTTAATGTGCTTAGAAATCATTTGGGACCCGTTAAAATGCAGATTCTGATTCAGTAGGCCTGGGTGAGGCCTAAGTAGGATGGCCAGATAAAACACAGTTAAATTTAAATAATATTTTAGTATAAGTATGTCTCACCCAGTTAAATTTGGATTTTAGATAAACACATTTTTTTATTATAAATATGATCAATATATTTTATGGGACAGTCTTATACTTAAATTTCAAATATTGCATGGAATGTCCTTATACTAACAGTTATTGTTTATCTCAAATTTAAACTTGACTGGGTCTCCTGTATTTATATTTAGTAAATCTGGCAACCCTAGTGCGATCCTGAGAATCTGCATTTATAACAAACTACCATGTGAGTTGATGCTGCTGGTCTACAAACTGCACCTTGAGTAGCAAACATCTCGAGCTATGTTGTCCCAATACGGTAGCCACTAATCATATCTGGCTATTTATTTATTTATTATTATTATCATTATTATTTTAGAGACAGGGTCTTGCCCTAACACCCAGACTGGAGTGCAGTGGCATCATCATAGCTCACTGCAGCCTCAAACTCCTGGCTCAAGTGATCCTTCTGCCTCAGCCTCCTGAGTAGGAGGACTATAGGCTCACACCATCATGCCTGGCTAATTTTTTTTTTTATTTCCTGTCACAGGAGCCACATTTCAAGTGCTCAATTATGGGTATATGTGGTGAGTGGCTACTGTATTAGACAGCATAGATAAAGAACATTTCCATCAGGTTACAGTTCTGTTGGACTTCACTGTTCTAAAGCACGAATGGGAATGAGTTTAGAAGAGGCATCTGTTTTCTTTCACAAGATTTCTAGGTACTTCAAAATAATTTTTATAAAATCATTTATAAATTTCAACAAATTTGGATAAAACACATCTACTAAAAAACTTCCATAATTGTTTTAATTTTAAAGATACTCAAGTTTAAAGAGGTTATCATGGGATACGATTATATTTTCCAATTACATAGAATTGAATCACTATATTAAGATAGTCTTTTCTAAAATTCTTATAATTAGGATACCTAGTTAATCCCCACAGTCTAGGATGCAGCATTTCTGAGATTCCCCACTGAAGCCAGCACTGCATAGAGGCTATAGGAAACTAACCACATATTATGAAGCAAACTCCAGTCTGATTTGGGCAATCTGATATTTGATTTGAAAGAGTAAAGACTGGCTTCCAGATGGCGATTAAGAAATCAGTGTGGGCTGGGCGCGGTGGCTCACGCCTGTAATCCTAGCACTCTGGGAGGCCGAGGCGGGTGGATCGTTCTGAGCTCAGGAGTTCGAGACCAGCCTGAGCAAGAGCGAGACCTCGTCTCTACCAAAAAATGGAAAGAAATTAATTGGACAGCTAAAAATATATGTAGAAAAAATTAGCCGGGCATGGTGGCGCGTGCCTGTGGTCCCAGCTACTCGGGAGGCTGAGACAGTAGGATTGCTTGAGCCCAGGAGTTTGAGGTTGCTGTGAGCTAGGCTGACCCCAGGGCACTCGCCCCAGGCAAGACAGTGAGACTCTGTCTCAAAAAAAAAAAAAAAAAAAAAAGAAATCAGTGTGATCTATCCAATAATACAAGGGCCACGAAGATCAGGGTCTATCCCTGGAAAAGGATCCAGACACAGGTGATCAGTTCTCTTTGTGTGATTAGAAAGGGAGGTCTTAGCCTTTGCTGAGTGTCCAAGGTGCTTAATTCCCCCAAAGTATAGCAGACTATTTCCACATATACTTATTGGAGGAGGAACTCCTTTCTCAAGAATCCTGAGATATAAAGGCAGGCACTATTATGAAAAAAATTATAGAAACTTACTGCACATTAGGAAAATCATACTCCCCCCACCTCCCACTGCCAGTACACACACATTCAAAGACATAAATGAACACATTCTTGTAATATCTACCTGGTTTACTCTGAATAAGTGGATAAATTACAAAACAGCATGATGGATATGTATGAGTAGATGTACATGTCTGTGTACTTTTCAGTTATACTAGGAATAGCTTATATTGTATGTGTAGCTTAACTATATCATTCAAGATGAAATGTCAATACACTTACTTTGCCCTCCTAATTTATAAAACCACCATCAAATCCTGATTATTCTTTGCAGAAATACAAATGGTAACATAAGGATTTTTTTTTGAATTTTACTTAAGATGTGTTAGTAATAAGGATTTTTTTAATGGTGATAAGAACAGAGGGTTTTCTTTTCTTTTTTCTTTTTTTAAAAAATGCACCTGTGCTTGGAAGAAAACAAAGGGATTTTTACTGATAACTAATTTAACATAGCATTGAAATTCCAAATATGTATCCATTGAAGTGAATCATAGAAATGGAGCTGATTTAATAAACTACTTGAGTTCTTCGTGAAACTTTTGTAAATTTAAGATTTAGGTAATGTCAAAAAAAACCTGCAATTGAAATTTTTTTTTTTTTTTTTGAAACAGAGTCTCACTCTTTTTGCCTGGGCTAGAGTGAGTGCCATGGCATCATTCTAGCTCACAGCAACCTCAAACTCCTGGGCTCAAGTGATCCTTCCGCCTCAGCTTCCCGAGTAGCTGGGACTACAGGCATGCGCCACCATGCCTGGCTAATTTTTTCTATATATTTTTAGTTGTCCGATTAATTCTTTGTATTTTTAGTAGAGATGGGGTCTCGCTCTTGCTCAGGCTGGTTTCGAACTCCTGAGCTCAAACAGTCTGCCCGCCTTGGCCTCCCAGAGTGCTAGGATTACACATGTGAGCCACCGTGCCCGGCCTGCAATTGAAATTTAAAGCAAATGTATTTAGTATGATACCACTATATTATAGAATTCTATAAAATACATTCCTATTTTGGATTGAGAGACACCAAATAGAAAATAAGTGTGAGTATTTCTTGAGGTAATAGGATTGAAATATATCTCCTGGGAAGAAAATTTACTTTTAAGTGGCATTTAAAAATTATTTCTGTCATATAAATCCTGTTTCTGTTAAACTACTTTGAAGCCTAAAAATGATTTTAAGTGTTTATTCATAGAATTTGCTACATATAATTTCTACATTTTATTGCCATAAGAAAATTACATGTATAGGTAATATAATTTTTCTCCTATTTACCTATAGCAAACACAGATGAAGTTCAAGTTCCCCAAGGAAATATTGATCAAGTTGCTGTCGTGGCCACCAATATTCTGTTTTTTGTAATTCTGTTTATCTTTGCTCTTTTTGAAACGTAAGTTTTTTTCTGTCTTCATCTAAATCAGATTATGTATTCACCTGTATTTCATTTCTTAATGCACTGTTAGACAGATAGATGTTATTTAAAACCTTATATAAGTCACATTTTTCTTATGATGATGTAAAAAGTGTATATATGTTTTATGGTTTTTAACTTGAACATAGTTCATTCTTTGTCCTTAATCTTATTACCTTATCTTACTTTCTTGTTAAGGAATCTGTTTCACTAATCTGTCCCCATCTCATCTGAGTTTTATGATAAATACGGTTAAAAAACTTTAGTGTCATGATTTACTTAACTTTAAGCTATATAGTTCCCTACTTATGTATACAAGGTTCTGTCTAGCAATTTTAACTCTAACCCTGATCTTGAAAAAAAAACTGGTATATTGCAAAATCTCTGCCTTGTGCAGGCTTTATTGACCTTTATTTATCATATGGTCCTTTTATTTTTAAAATACTTTTTCATTAAATTATAAAAATAGTACATTCTTGTTGTAACAATTCTAAAGATTACAACTGTATTTCCGTATCCACCCCTTTCTATAGAAGTAACCACTGCTAATACTTCAGTTTGTATTTTTGCAAACATTTTTCTGAGCAACTGTAAGAGTATGTGTATATGTGTGTGTTTGGTGTTTGTATTTATTAAACTCCTATAGACCATGTGATACTATAATTTGACAACTTCGCTTATTCCGTTATCAGTACATTGTGACTTTTTAATGTCAGTACATGTAGATTTGCTCGATCTTTTTAATTTCCAAATTATTGAGATATATGAAAGTTTTACCTCATCTGATTTTTTGGGGTGGTTTTTTAATTATAAAATATACATAACATCAAATTTACCATTTTAACTATTTTTAAAGTACACAATTCAGTGGCGTTATCCAACCGTGACCACTATTCATTTCCAGAACCTTTTCATCATCCTAAACAGGAACTCCTCATCCAATAAATAAACTCCCCATCTTCCCTCCACTCAGCCCTGGTAACCTTTGTTCTACCTTCTGTCTTGTGTGAATTTGCCTATTTTAGGTACCTCATATAAGTTGAGTCATACAATATTTTTTTTTATGTCTGCCTTATTTCAGTTAGCGTGTTTTCAAGGTTCATCATGTTGTAGCATGTATCATAATTTCATAATGTTTTATGGCAGAATAATATTCCATTATAGGTAGATACCACATTTTGTCTGTCCATTCATCTGTTACGGACACTTGGGTTGTTTTCCTTTTTGGCTATGGTGGAATAATGCTGCCGTGAACATTGATGTACAGGTATAAGTATCTGTTTGAGTCGTTGTTTTCAACTTTATATACCTAGAAGTGGAAATCGTGGATCATCTGGTAATTCTGTTTAACTTTTTGAGAAACCACCAAACCATTTTTTACATGAGCTCATCTGATTTCAAACTTTTAAATGGTGTTGTTTTTTTTTTTAAAATATTCTAAATATAAATCTCATTTCGTAGTCAGTTAATAGAAGGACATAGAATGTAGGAAAAGAAGCTAGGCAAGGAAGGCAGCAGTCATAAAGGAAGGGAGACAGACGTAGGGAGAAAAATATGTATTTAATACATTCAAAGGTAGGGAAGGAAGAGACTGAGGAAGAGTAAAAAAATTCAGTAGGTTCTAATAACTTAATAACAGTAACATTACTGCATTGAAAAGAGACCAATTTAACCCCAAACATAACCATGATTATTTAGTTATGTTTGAATGATAGGATTTATAATTGGTTTGGTTTGTTTCTTTTCCTATTTTTCCTATTTTCTTTTCCTATTTTCATTCCTTTTTGCAATGTGGCTATATTAATTATATAATTAAACATTAAAAAATAAAAATATGAATAGGCAGACTTAGTTGCTTAGATATGTAACAACAAAATGTGTTTAAAATGTATTCAAACTTTTACTTATATAGATCTGGTGTCAGTGTTAAAAGGGATGCAAATTCTTGAATGTGTAGGTATCATCATTAAAGTTTATATTTCACTTTATGTATAACAATTACAGCGAGGTAAAGAAGAATAATTTCTTTTTTGTTTTTCTTAGCATCATTACTCCATTAACAATGGATATGTATGCCTGGACTCAAGAACAAGCTGTATTATATGATGGAATAATACTTGCTGCTCTTGGAGTTGAGGCAGTTGTTATTCTGTTGGGGGTTAAATTACTTTCCAAAAAGTAAGTTATGTATTTTTTGTTTTGTTTCAAGTCTATTTTTTTTTTAAAGTAAAACATGAAACAGAGCTAACAATTCAAATGATTGGGCTAATAAAATAATTTAAAGCTTTTCTCTCATTATGTATTAGTTATAGTCCTTGAAAGTTTGCAAGCAGATTTAAAATTTCCTCTGGCATTTCTTTGGTAAAGCAAAATATCTTACATAGTAAATTATTGTCTCCTTTTGTATATTATGTATACTTTGTATATTATGTTTTACTTAAAGTATTTCTTAAATATTTCATAAATCCTTGCTCTCTTGTATGATAATACATGTTATGTAACAAAAAAACTTCAATGGTTAAGTTTGGAAAATTCTGGTTAAGATTACTGAACTTATTTATTCTACAATTTCTAAGTCTTCAATATATATACCCTATATCATAATCATGGCAAATACAGTTTGTGGCATTTCTTAGTTATTTGACCACAGAACCCTTTTTAAAACACACTGCTTGATTTTAATTCTTTTTTGTTAAGAGAGTTTTTAAAATTGATATATAATAGATATACATATTTACAGGGTTCATGTGATATTTGATACATTCATATAATGTGTAATAATCAAATCAGGGTTATTGGGATAT